AATTATCACCTGTACATTGTTAGCTGGCATGTGATCTGGTGTTCCTTGACTTTTTGTTTTTGTCTTTTATCCCTACTTGTCATGTGTATTGGTAGTGGGAGTAAGAAATGTGTAGCGAACTTGAGTATACATCAGAGCAACTAGTCTCGGTGGCGATGGGCTCAAGCATGGCACGAATTGCTTGATATTAGTATACCCGTGTATTTCATCGTCCTGTTGGTACATTTATAAATCCGTACATTTATAAAGCCACTGAACTCCTTCTGAACTCAGATTTCCCTGGAAGTGTTCCCTTTCAATAACATCAAAGGTATCAGTTCTCTCTCGTATAATTTCATGCCTATTTTTTGCATAATCTGCCTTTTTTCCCCTTCCTAATAGCCCAGTTAAACCCTCATATCAGGAAGCAAAGACACACTGATGGATTCATTTAACACTTGCTATTGTCTTTGTGGAAGATGTTCATGCCAGGAATAATAACCCACATTTTTTTATTTGCGTCTCTTTGTCGACCATGTTCAAACTCTCACTGTGGGCAACTCGGGGTGCTTCCCGCCGCACTGCCAGAATAATCACGCCGTGAACTCTGACTGACCCCCTCGTTGGCTGCATGAGACAGCGCTCTTACCGGGAAAAGAGATCCACTGCAATCATGGCTGCTTTTGGATCGTTACGTGTTCCTGTAGTGACTGATACACAGCTTTGACATCAAGGGCCCTACTATTGTGCCCAGCGCAAGTCTAGCACAAAGTGCAGTCTAACTATGCGCATGAGTGGAGTTTTCTTCAGTTCTGGCAGACGGGCGCAGTTAGAAAGGGGCATTTGCGCTGTTGTGGGAGGGAACGCAGCTGACTTGTTTGCCATCCACTGTAAGCAGTTCCCCTCTTTCACTTTAAATTCATTGAAGAGCCGCATAGTCTATGTGATATATATAGGTAGATGGAGGAGATCGCATTGTTTCATATTAATAAAAAAACAAACCTGCTTACGAGACTTGCCCTGGCAAGAAAATTAAGGTGCACACATTTTTATGCCAAGTGCACGGGCGCCTGTGTACTAAAATAGGGCCCCAAGATCCATATGCAAATGCTGTGGCAGAAACCGCTTTTGAAAAGCCGTCCACTGTGGTAACTGATGCACAACTTTGACATCAACTCATTCGTACTGAGGGAAAATAGTGTTTAAATAGATGTCCACTGTCGTGGCGTATATGCAATTCAAAACAAATAAATATGGAAGAAAACATCTTTGGAATAGCTGCTCAATGAGTCACTTGACATCAAGTGTCAAATGCTAGGGTTTGTTTGCGTTAAAAAAGCGAAACAAAACAACACTGCTCAATAATTCCAATACAGATTTGTGACTGGAGTGGAGGATGGACCGATTCCATTTTGGTGCCAATCCTAATATGATTGTGGGTGCTTTAGCGGAGGTCTGCACTCCCCTTTAGTGCGAGGATGCAGGTTTCGTGAGATGAAAGAGAAGAAGGATGCACCTAGCCAGCGAGCTGAGAGTGCACGTGAGAGAGTGGGGATGTGATCAGCATGCTAAGAGAGTGTCATACACATACACATGCACACACCTGCATGAGCAGCTGGAGGGAGATGAAGATGTGGGAGGGTCTAAAGGAGGGTGTCTATTCCTCCACCATCCCTTCTTCCTCTTTTCTAGACCACCCTGCTCATTCTTTTACTGTGATAATGCAGATAAATGAGGTAAAGATATATTTGGGTGTTTTTCATCAAAGTATGTCTTTGAAGGACCAGTGGAAATGGATAAAATGGTTGCTTCAAACCAAACTAGCCGGCTTGCAGTGTCTTTTTGGGCATGGCTCCTTGAGACATTTTTTTTGTGGGTCTGCTCCTGATACAGATGCCTCACAAATTTCTTGTTGCTGGTTGAAACTGCTTTCGGGGCTTAATTTTTCTAAATGAGTTGATGGGAGTTTCATGTTGTATGACAAGTCATACTCCTAAAAGGCCCGCTGCAAATCAAAATGGGTGATTAAATCCCCCCCCCCTTTTTTTTAATATAACTATAATTATACATTATATGTCAATCCAAATAAACATTCACACAAAGCACCTGTAGTAGTGGTGACCAAGATAAATCACAAAGACATGGCCATCATAATGAACACATGGTAATTCATAATCACTGTTTGAAAGGCAAATAAACACCCGAATATGGGATGAAGAGATTATCCAATGTGATGAACGAGAGCCATTAATCTTTGTCTAATTCATGATGGCATGAAAACAACAACAACAACAACAAAAATAACAGCCTTTGTAGATTTTAAGTAGATAAAGCGCTTCTGTCCATTAATAAATGCTAAATGAGTCATGGTGAGTGACTGGAAGTAGATAACAGATCAAATGTGACTATTTCTCACCGCTGTTTCACAATTTTCTCATTAGTCATGAATGAAATGCCCATTAGAAAAGTCATCCATTTTGCTTTCTCATACAGTATATGCCAAGTAGTGCCCATAGCAGTGACTTTAGCAGTGTTTTTAAATGTTAGCAACATCATTGCAGTTAGCTACAATTAGCTACTTTCAACATTGGTGCATTTATATACAGTCAAACCAAGTGGTCTACAATACAATACAATACAATACAATACAATACAATACAATACATCTTGATTTATTTGGCTCTTTCACAACAGAACAATAAATACCGCTTTATCCTCACTAGGGTTGCGGGAGGGTGCCGGAGCCTATTCCAGCTGTCTTCGGTCTTTAGGCGGGGGACACCCTGAATCGGTTGCCAGCCAATCGCAGGGCACACAGAGACGAACAACCATCCATGCCCACACTCATACCTAGGGACAATTTAGAGTGTTCAATCAGCCTGCCATGCATGTTTTTGGAATGTGGGAGGAAACCGGAGAAAACCCACGCAGGCCCGGGGAGAACATGCAAACTCCACACAGGGAGGCCGGAGCTGGAATTGAACCCGGTTACCTCTGCACTGTGAAGCCAACATGCTAACCACTGGACTACCGGGCCGCCCCTATAGTAATATATTTCGCAAAATTTATAAATTAAGAGTTGGATTCAGCAATAGGTGGATTTTTTTTTTCTGAAATGTCATAGCTAGAAATTATAACGCGTGGTAAAATCTGTATTGCGCAAGCTTTTATGGAATTGAATTGAATTTAATACAACTTTATTGTCAAATGTGCTGTACGTACAGTATGTGTAACATACAGCACAGATGAAATTTCTTCCCTCTCAACATAAAACAAGAGGAGCCGCTGCGGGTGTCCGCACCGCCATCAAAGAAAAGTTAACAAAAAAAATGACAAAATAAAATTACAAAAAAAAATTGTAGGTCAAATGTAAAAATAAAAAAATTAAAATATCTCAAAAAGCTATCTCTGATTATAATTTTATGTTGACCAGTGTAATATCCGCTAGATCACTAACTTTAGCATTGTTCCAAACTAGCCTCATATCTCAGCACATTTGCGCACTTTGCAGCGGCCCCTTGGATTTACAAATGAAGATGCAGAGCGATCCAAACGGATGTCGATAATCTTTTATATTTCAATGAACAGCATTAGCAACTCCAAAACACCGAACTCTGAAAACTAGAGAAAAGAAAACTGAAAAAATACAATGCGTCAGTGTACCAGTAGACATGTTCTCATCAGGAATACAATAGCACACTCAGCTTTTTGTTGTCTATACAAACAGTCTACAATGAAGACAGTGTTTCTCATGTGGACTTTACTCTGTTTTATTATTCAACTGTTGTTACTTAACTACTTCCATTTTCATCCGTGTTATTCAATGTCTCCAGTGGAGCACGCTTACTTCCTCCTACTGTGTCACACACTTTGCTTCCTTTTTTCACATTTTCACAATGACTTGGCTCAATCTGTGTGTCTATGAATGTCCACCACGAGGCTGTTTACGTCGCGTCTGGAAAATCACTTCTGCTACAACAGTAGATAACATTGATTGTTATCACTCTGTCATTATCCTGTTATGGCCGTGTGAAAGGCAGAGGCAAATAAATGAAGGGTCTTCAGTTTTGTGGGATTTTCATGCGGTCCAGAGGGAAAAGGAACATACCGGTAGAGCATATAGTTTGACTTTATCACCTCCACTGGGTAGCGCCTTTTTATGCTGTCATCCAAGGGGATGCATTGATATTTTTGTTGTTGGACTTTGGGGGCTTGTTGACAAAGGTCAAATTTCCTGGATACAGAGGCCCTTTAAAGCTGTTTTCCCCCCATTCATTTTGCATATTACTGTACTGGGTGAAAGGTACCAAATTGGGATAGGGGTTGTGAAGTCAACACACAAATCTCCCAACTTTTGAGGCCCATGAAAGTTGTCTTTTTCCCGAGGCTTTTCATCACTTCCTCCCCTACCCCACATCCTCCAGATCATTGTTTTGTATGAAAGGTCGCAACCCAAAACGGGGGGACTGGAGTTAACTTGCAAATTTCCAAGCGTTCGAGACCCTTAAAAAATATCACATATTGCTCTTCTGTTAGAAAGGTATCAACTCGGAATGGAGGAGGTTGATATCAATTCCGAAATTTTTCAAAGTTAGCTTTTTCAAAGGTTTTTTTGCAGCTTTTCCTCATGTGGCTGGTCTGTGTGAAAAGTACCAGACTAAAATGGGGAGTTGGAGTTAACCCTTAAATTTTCCAGCTTTTGAGGTCCTTCAAAGATCTATTTTTCATATTTATTTTCAGTTGTTATCCTGAATGAAACACACCAACCTGGAAGTTAGCCTTTGTGAATGGTTTGGGAGCGGATGGTTCAAGTATTTTTACCAAGTTGCTGTTTTGTGTGAAACGTACCTACCCAGAATGGGGGGTGTTAAAGTCGACTCTTGAATTTCCCTTCCACTTTATACATCACATAAGACACTGTTGCTGATGTCATCCAGTTATCTGATGGCGTGAATCCGCTTCTCTGTGAGGAAGTTTTTACGGTGGACTAGCCTGACCTGACCATCTCTTTTTATTTTCAGTATGGGGAGGAGGAGGTGTGTTCAGACCGCCTGGACACCGACTTTGCCGACATTGACCTCTCACAGCTGGACACCAGCGACTTTGACAGCGTCAACTGCCTTGGCGAGCTGCAGTGGTGCAGCGACCAGGCGGCAGACGCATCACCGGCCTCCATCCGATACAGCACACCTGATGAGCTTTTTGAGGTAAGCGTCCAGCTTGCCCTCATATACAAACTAGAGTTTAGTGAAACATGCTTGCTCTACGTTTCACATCATCAATTCTTCATTGATTTTTTTCTTTTCTTTGATTGATTGATTGATTTTATGACTTACTGGTGCCAGGCGCTTACATTTTTGAACATTCTAGGGGCCATTTCATTGAAAAATGTGCGTCTGATCTCCATCCATACCAGATGGTCAAAACCTGTCACACTCAACATAAAAAATAATTACACATGAGGTCTTTAAAATAACAACATACAGCTCTGCCTTAGTAAAGCTATTTTAGCTTAATGCTAACAAACAATGCAAAATGCCATTGACATGTTAACGTTAGGATCAAGACAAACGGTCAAGATGCACATGTTGACAGTTAACAGTACTCACAGGAATAAACTCTTTATCCTCTACTACAAATGACTAATACAATGTTTGTATGACGGCATCTGACTGGGTAACTTTTAACTTAACAGTAGTAGTAGAAGAACTATTCTTCTTCGTTTGTGTCTGCATGACTATTATTCTGACTCCCAGTGGCCAAGCCGACCATACCAGGAGGAGCGGCATTACACCATGATGTACAGACTGTTTAATACTTTACATTCTATTTAACTCATTCAGTACCAGCCAATTCTAGACCCCATTTTTTTTTACCCTAAGTCTTGGAAAAATTGAAAAAAAAAAGTATCTGGCGTTGAACGTGTGGAGTGTGAAAAGACATATACATAGGTCTTTTTGGAGTGAATGAGTGGTATTAATGTGTTTTTATAAAGTACAAAATTATAATGTGAGTGCAACTTTTCCCAACACTTTTTTGTTTGTTTTTTGGGGATGGAGGCTGGTAACGAACGGATGTTTTGACAAGCTACCAGTGTATACCTGGTAAAAATGTTGTGGCGATGAGGTGAATTCTTTTGAACAAGTTTACTCAGGTACAACAACGAGAAATGGCTAAAATTCTCCCTAACGTCACTTCCTAACTAAAATTGCCTTCGACTTTTGCCTTTCACAGCATAGGGTCTTCATTCATTTTTGTACATCCAGCCATGATGAATACGGTTGCCAGGTCCAATTTGAACCGATGGAGTTCAATGTTTGTTTACGTGCTCGGGTACAAGGTGAACAGGAAGATGAAAAGTGTTTTCTGGTGCTCTCCAGATCGAAGAGGAGAATGCGGCGCTGCTGGCCGCTTTGACGGACAGCCTTGAGGGCATGGTGGACGCAGAGGTGGGAGGCCTCTCCGTCTTCCCGGCCCTAGAAGATGACGAGCCTGAGCGGGATGAGGACGACCAGGACCATCTTCATCATCTTTCTGTGGGCTCCAACCACCTCAAACACTCGCAGGACACAGAGGACCCCTCTCTGGTAAGATCACTTCCTGCTCTGAAAGGTGCAAGGCGAGGCTGCGAAGATGCGCAGCCAATCCGCTCACTGGGATAAATCCAGTCCTGCTGTCATTGGTTGACGTCGCGCTGGGAACCACTCATGCGTACAGGCATGGATAAAACCTCTGAATCTTCCGGCATTTTTTTTCTGAACACAGTACAGTAAATATTCCCATCCCCGGAATTCTATGAAAAGGAATATCCTTCACCCGGAACAAAAGCCTGTGCATTAACATTTTGACTATGATATTACATGTTACCGGAACTTACGTAAGCGGAAATTCCACTACCCGTAACCCAGATTGAGACGTCATGCCGCGGGAGCTTACATAGACGCAATGCCCACCCGATGCTACGGAACGACGACACCGAGACACATTTTCCCTTCGCGTTTTTCGATCATCACATTCGAAACGATGACGTGTAAGTGAGTTTTTATTGGCGTGCGTTTGACTGCAATTGCGAAAGATTTTAATTTTATTCACTTACGTCGTGTAGATCATGGCATCGAAACGTAGAAGAACTGTAATGACTGGAGCGGAGCGAGTGAAATGCATCCGTTTGAACAAGGCTGGACACAAAGTTAAAAGCATCCAGCAGACACTTGGAGTCGGAAAGACGCAAATCTACGAAACTTTAAAAAACAAGGCATCGATTCAACTCCTGATGACAAGCCACCATCCAGCGAGGAAGCAATGCAAATGGCAACAAACCATCAGTATGCACAAGAATTACCAGACATCGGTGATCAACGGGACAGTTACTTGCAACTAGCAACAAAACTGTATGACACGCAGGCAAACATTGTCATAAACCAAAGAATGCATCCAACCTAACAATCCAAAACAGACACATTTTTTCCCAAGACAGAAAAAAAATAAACATTAAAATACTGTACATATTTTACTGTTGTGATTTTTTTTTGGATACACCTGTATTACAGTTTTTGTTATATAAAGTTTTTTGACCGTATATTTTTGTATTTTATTGATTGTGTTGTTACACGTGCATTTTGTCAACATACTTTCAGGTTCATAAAGGACATGTACCATGCTCATTTCCCAAATGAGGAATTTCTGTTATCAGGACAAATTGGACAGCGCAACCACGAGTCCGCACGAGAGAATATTTACTGTACTCTGGAAAAAAAAACGCGATATACTGAAGCCGCGACAAATGAAGCGAGATATAGCAAGGGATCACTGTATTAGCTTACTTAAATCCACATCAGTGTGTGTGGTGTCCCAGCACTCTCTACTAGTTTGTTTTCCACCAGCGTGCGCCCCCTCTTTCACTTTTCACACATCATTGTGGGATGCTTTTGTGGACCACCCCTCCTTCTCCCAGTTGCTCTTGCTGTTATTCCCCGAAGTCCGAAAACTTCCAGGAATCAAACTTTGTTTGTCTTCTCCTGCACCTGGGCAACCCTGCGGACGCTAAATATCCTGAACCTTGACAGACTCCACTTACAATGCTAACGTGCCCTGAAAGAAGGACTGTAACTCATCATTCACTAAAGCTTGAAGGAACTTTTTGTGTGTCTGTGTGTGTCTATGTGCTGGTTCTGGACTACAAAGATGTTTTTGTTCTGGGTGGCTGAAGCGTAACTATTCACTCAGCTACTCATCCTCGCCTTTTCTAGGGCCTGTGTGTGAGGTGGTGTTCTATCAATTGTCAGAATTTTAATTAAGACGTGCTAATTGATATAGCATCAAAGTGAAAGTACTGCTTGAAATGGATCCTTCCACGAAAAGCTCTTTTTCTCAGAATTTTTCTTGGAAATAAGTATTTTCAGGAAACTTAATCATGTTCAAATGGTAGAAATGTACTTTTTTTCCTGATGAAAGCAGAGGGTTGACACTTTTTTTTGGTAGACTCCATGCTTATTTAGCTAGGGAACTCAATTTTCTGTAGGCCTTCAAAATTTTGTCAAAATGGTCAAAAACCGGCTCTACCAATTTGAGAAAAACGGCTGGCCTGAATGAGTTAATAGGAACTATACACGTCAGAGCTTTTGAGATTGCTCATCGCAGATTTCAGAAAGTATGCATTGCATTGTTGCTGACGACTTTTTTGATCTCATCGTCCAACTCACGACATTAAGAGGCCGGACTGAAACGTTTTATTCTTTGAAGCTGCCTTCAGCAAAAAGTAGTTTAAGTGTACCATCAGTAAAGATCTTTCATACTAAGTTGGAGGCAGTATACTTTAAGTGTACTTTTTAAATACCATATTTTTATAAACTTTACAGAAGTATGCTTAAGTCTACTTGGCTTAAGCATACTTAAGTATACAGACAGGTCCTCAATTTGTTCCAATTTAGAATGAAAACGTATTTTATATACATAAATTATGCTTGAGCATACGTTATAAATTATACTTCATACATAGTACTTTTTCGTAAGTGTGTAACAACAGATATATTTGTAGTATGCAAAAAAAAAATCGATATTGACCACACAAGACAGGAAATTATTGGTTATCCGTATCGGTTGAAATTTCTATTATCATGCATTACTAGTTGAGTTGAGTGTTAAAGTCAATGTGTTTTCATCTAGTCAAGTCTCACAATACAAGCCTTTAGCATGTAGCTTAGCACGGTAGCTTACATACACAGGTTCGGTCCACAGAGGCTACATGAAACAGAGCCTTTGCAGGTGTCAAAGGACCCAGCCTGGAAACTATTATTCTAAAATTTGGAAATCACATGCAGTGAAGTTGCGCTGGAAGTGACGCCATGTGGCAGAAAATGTGCTCTTCGAAGGATGCAACCTGTGAATTTGGACACAGCCACTCACCAAGTGTGTAAGCAGGGCGCTAAATGCCACGGTGGCGTTGTTTAGTCCCTAAACAATGAGTCTCATGATGACGTTTTTCTGTTTTGACAAAAACTAACAAGTGCGCCCCTGGCCTGCCCTTGGGTGACATTGAGATGTCAGCGATCCAAATCTCAAGCGAGGCGAGCAGGTTAATCAGTTACATTGAAGAAAAATAGGAAGAGAGAGTGAAACCGATCACAAGTCAAAGTCACTGGTGCTTGAAATCATGCAATGTTGGGAAAAAAACAATTTCTTCAGTAGATGACAAGAACAGAAACCACACGGGGAAGTTAAAATGTATTATTTGATTTTCCTGGGCTTTTCTGACTTGGAAAAACAAACTGCAGATATAGTTTTATTGTTTAAAAATTTTAGCTCATAGGTCAATTGTCCCTCGGTCCTGAAGATGCTCAAACCCTCTGTTGGTGTGTTGGTAGGTAGGTAGGTAGGTAGGAGGGTAGAAAGGAAGGCAGTTCGGTGGGAAGGTTCTTAAGTGTGCATGTGTGCTTGATTGTGAGGCTTTGGGGACAAGGCCTTCATTGATTTGTACAAGGAAGTCATCCAGAGTGGACCAGACTGTGCTTGAGAAGCCATGGCCGCTTGCTCATGCTTCCGGATGCTTCTGTGGGGGTTTCGCATATGGCCCACACGCGCTGACCTTCGGGTTCTTTTTCAGTATCCTCAATGGACGCTTCTTCTTCCTCTTCCTCCTCCTCATCCTCATCACCATCGTCGTTGCCCTCTCAGCCAAGTTGGCTGGCCCACAAAGCTTTGGGAGTGAGGGTCATTCATCTGACCAACAAAGCTTTCCCTCTGTCGTTTAAAGAAACTCTGTCAGGTGCTCATGTTGGACTAATTAAGGCATGGATACTTACATACAGACAGTATGTACAGGACAGTGGGCCAGACTCATATCCAACTAGAATTTGGCTCAAGTCAAACTGGTACCATACTATATCCATATTATTATCAGACTAGAACCCAAATACAAGCACACTTGGACCGGACTAGTACCAGATTAGGCCCAAACTACACTGGGACTAGTACTAGACCAGCAATACTTTAGAAATTGACTGGTACCCATTTCCAAACCATCATCTAATCATACTAGTGTCAGTTGCCAACTGCAACTATTGTCGAACCAGATTTATACCAGATTAGAACCAGACTAGTATCAGGTTTAAACCAGGCTTTAGCCAGACCACACCAGTGTCTTACTGGACTAGTACCAGACAACAGCCAAACTACTATCAGACCAGATCATCTAAGAGGTTCGTCATGAAGACAGCCAGAACGTTGCTGACGGTGATGATGATGTGAAGTCTATGTCCCACTAGACTGGTGGCTGCACAACGTCAAAATAATATGATAGCGTCTTCCTTATCTTGTGTTACCAGCTGAAGATCTTGCTGCTGACTCCACCCAATGTCCCAGTGGGCAAAGATGGCGTCCGTGGCCATCATTACAGCAACAGAGGATTGCACTCACGGATGGTCCGACCTCCAGTTAAGGTGAGGAAAAAATATAACAAACCAAGTTCACAGTACAACTAGACTAGTGGAAAACCAGGGTAGGACCAGACTAGCATCAGCCTACTGCCAAATAAGAACCAGTCTAGTACCAGTCAAGAATCAGACTAGAATAGGCTCATACCATAATAACTCTAGGGGAGGTGTGGAACTGTTCACAAAATCCACGATTCGGTTCTCGGCTTTGTGCTCACGGATTTCCATTTGGTATACGTTGACTCAAAATCAATTGTCTTGTCGTTAAATGTGTCTTGGTTCTCTACAAATCCAACAGCTTTGTGTACAACTATATAAGCCTGAATTTCACACTGAGTAAGTACATTTGTAACCAAACTGAGATAAGATAATTATTTCAGCGTGGAAACTTTTTGTTATCTTTGTTTGGTGGTATACCATGAGTTTTTTAAAATTTATTTACGCAAAATACACGAGAAACATAACAACATGGCTATGCCAGTTGTTTGTTTTACGTACCAGAGATCTTGCGTTCGATATATAAAGACTCGGTAGTGATGGCTTATGATGCTGACACTAGCATCATTATGAATCCAACCGGAGTTGGATCTGGCCCACTGCGATATGATTGGCTGCTGCCTCACTGCAGGGATTTGACACACGCTGCTGTAACCATGGACGTCACCGTAAGCATGCATGCTTACATCTTTGGTTCGCGCTCATCAGGGGGGAAAAAAAAGAGTTGTGTGAAAGGAGCAATGGAAAAAGTCGGATCGAACCGTATTTGTTGAACCAGCTGGTTTTGAAGGTTTTCAAAAAACACCCTCCCCCTACTCTAGAGTAGTATCTGATTCAAACCATACAACTACCAACCAAGTATTTGGGTTCCTAACACACACAAGACTAGTAAAAAAACTAGACCAGACTACTGCGAAAATAGCACCAGATTAGAAACCGTCTAATAACAGACTAGAGCACACTAAAAACAGAGTACCAGATGAGAGCCAGAAGAGTCCCAGACTAATATCAGACTAGAATTATACTATGACGAGTTGCATTTTAGAAATAAGAAACCAGACTCTAGTGCAAGACAAGTACGTGATTATAGCCAGACTGGGACCAGTTAGAAACAGACTTGCAATAAATTACAACCAGACTAGCACCAGAACCCAATTAATAGCTTGCTAGGACCAGATTAGTATCTGAGTAGAATGCAACTGCGACCATACAAAGAACAGACTGAAGCATAGGCGGAAAAGACTAATACCAGACTGTTAAAAATGGTTTTGTTTTTTTGTCACCTGACCTATAACATGAATTTTACTTGTATTGTTCTAAACTAACTAGTCACTTAGAGAATCTTTAGAGTTAGCGAGAGAAGTCGCATTGATTAACATTTCGAACAGTCACTGTTTTCCTTGGAAGTGACACTTGCTACCTATAACATGAATTTTACTTGTATTGTTCTAAACTAACTAGTCACTTAGAGAATCTTTAGAGTTAGCGAGAGAAGTCGCATTGATTAACATTTCGAACAAGATCACTCTTTCAGACAGATGACACTTGCTCTTTGTTGTTTTTGCTGTTGAGTTTCAGACTCGTAATTCTATTAAATTAGTCCGTCAGGGAGACTTTTAGCATCATTGCATTGCTATTCAATTTCTTTTCCTCATGCATAACAACAAGAAACGATAGCATATATTCTGAAAGAGTCTCTTTAAATTCAAAAGACAGCCAAGCTGAACATGTGACTGATGTCTTTATTCGCTTTTCAATTCAACTCGTCAATGATCAGGAACAACAAACAACAGCACTGACATCTCATTTTAGACCCGAGTGTGCTGCAAAGAGAGAGGCCATCGCTCATCAGCATATGTGGCGTGGGGGGAATATAGGACTGCTCTGAACCTGATGATTGAGGTACTGCTTGTCCAACTTGGAGTGGCAAAGTTAAGGCCCTCAAGGGGAGGCAGTGTGAAAGGGAATGAAAGGGAATAGCACAAAGCAGGGACCAATAATTACAAGGCCAGTACTTTGAGAGACCCAGACCAGTACCATACTAGGAGCAGACTATTATGCGACTATTACCAGGGTATTATTAGGCTGCAACCAGGCAAGTATCAGGGGAGTACCAGGCTATTACTAAACTAAAACCAGGGCAGGATTTGAAATTACCAAATTAATACCAGACTAGATTTGGATCTGCCACTGAGGAAGACAGAATCGCATGAGTATCTGTCAAGAAAACGACTAAACCTGACCCAGAGCAGTTCAAGACTCAAACCAGACTAGAACCAGACTTGAACCAGATGCTGGCGCGGTAATCGCCAATTCACTTGTCTGTATATGGAAAGCAATGTATTGGTTCGCATCATTCTTTGTGAAAGACACATGCGATGCAGCAATTGAATAAACTGTGTGGAATGGTCTTAATATTTGTGCGGTTAATTAACCAACTTGTCTCCACACACTCAGATGGAGCCTTCACAAGTGCGGAAGCCACGTGCTGTGCGTCCAGCAGGCCGCCTCTGCACCGAGCTCCACCGCCATCTCACCACAACCCGGCGGGACACCAAGGAAATCCTATCTGCTGATCCGGAGGACGAAGAGGACGAAGAGGAGGAAGAAGACGATGAAGACAGCGAATCAGAGGAGGACGATGATGAGGAAGAGGAAGAAGAGTCTTCCGGTAGTGACTTAGAGGCAAGGCAAAGCAAGTCCCCCGCCGAGCCGGCCAAGCCTCAGTTCACCTCAGAGAAAGAACTCCGATCTGTGGTGGAGCTTATCACCTACATGCACACATACTGCATGCCTGTCCGCAAGCAGCAGGGTCTGGACCGCAAGGATCCGTCCAGGCCTCGAGCTCGACCCGATGCCTCCCGCCCATCCATAACAAACTCTTATAGCCGGGTCGTACTGGTGGCACCCCCGGCGAGCGGTGGGCCGACGGGTGCCCAACGAAGGCTTCCCTTCGCAAAGCGTAGGGAGATGAAAACTGACTCGCTTCTCCATGAGCTCCTGCAGCAGAGTACCTCTTTTGACGTGAGCAAGCCTTACGGACAGCACAGTCCACCGTACACCCAAGCAGAACCGGGATTCCCAGCTACAACCCGGGACACCGGCACCGGCACCCCAAAACCAGATGTTTGTAAAGACTCTTCCTCACATGCGAGGACAAATTCCTCCTACGAGGCGCCACAAAATCTCACGGAGGACAGCGGCTCCTTTTCGGTTCGCCGTTCCAGGCGTCTGGCTTCCTTTCCCAGCCGCTTTGCCAAGAGGCTGCGGCCCAGTCAGGCGAGGAAAGATGAAAAGAAGGAGGAGCAAGATGACAGGCAGGCAGGGTGTAAGCGTTCACCAACACAAATGGGAAGAGGGACCATCATGGAGGCAGGACCACAAGGCCAGACGACAGAGATGACCAAAACCTGCTGCCACAACGGTGAGACCATGTCCTCGTTTATTTTTTTTTGGGGGGGTGTCCAAAGTTGGTAGTGGTATGTGTTGCCAAGGATAGGGTTTTTGAATTATCTTGTGATTTACAGTAAATAGTTTGGGAAAAGGCTGTTCCATGACATAAGAAGATCCTTGTAGGTTTAAACAGGTTTCATTTACATTTTTTAAAATTTTTGACGGGGTGCAGCCATCTCGTTTTACCTCTGCGTCCCGTGTCCTAGACGCATAATTTTCCCGCGGGACGCACAGTTCCAAATAATGTGCGTTTTTGGGACACAGGGAAATTTCTCAGTCAAAACAAAAAAAAAAAAAACTACGGCAGGCTTGAGGATTTCACGGTAACGATCGGTACCGGTAGCTTGTCGTTTCCGTGGCGTCATTTTGACGGTACCGAAAAATCGTTTAACCATAAAAGTCACCGCACACGAGTTGACTGTACGCGATCAAATCTCTCCTGTGTGATCAACGTGATTTCACTGTGCCTGTATGTGTGTTTGTGGTGGGTTGTGTGAGTGTGTTTCTTCTAATTTACTTTCGTTTTGTTTTGTTTTCAGTGTTGGGGGGGACGGAACAGTTACCGTTATGTGCGCACGTGGGTTGCTATTTTAGTCCGCAAACTGAGGAATCGCGCGGATGAAACTTTGAGATGGCGGCGAAAAAAACTCACAAAGGTCTACTAATTACGACATTTAAGAAATGAATCGTCCGAAGGGCGTATCACGAAACTCACCTGGGATGTATGCACAGAACACCAGAGCGAGATATGATGGGAGGCACGATTCCGAGGCAAGTTGGTCATTAGATCTATCGGCTAATCTCTGTGAAAAATATGATGAAACAGTATTGGTTATTCTATAATTTACTTATTATAGTGTAAGCTTTTGTTAAATTGTTAATTATTATCATTTTATATTTGAGCACTATATTCTTTTATGTTACAGTTACCCAAATTATATTCTGTTTACTAATTGCTGAAATATTCTTATGTTGCTTGCATCTGATTGGCGAAGTAAAGCAGGAAGTGTTTTTCGTTACCGGAAAGAGGTGTGTTCGTTCGAGAGTTACAAAGCAGACGTTGGAAAATAAAGAGCTGCGTCCAAACGAAGTCCATCTCTCCTTTTTGCCCATTCCGAACGTAGAGCCATCCATCCAAAACCTATGAATCTGAATTACAGTAGCAAGGTAACTTTAGGAATAAAACATTCGTCACAAAGTGTAGTAATGCTAATGTTAACTGTTGGTAGAAATAATGATGACGTGTGTTAGATTCTTTCGTCAAATTGATTGTAGATTACACATGCATCGTCTTGGGAAGAGGATGTCAAGCCACATCACTACTTACCTGAATTAATGATTTCCAGTAAATTAATCTTTGCAGTGTGAGATTGGAAAAAAAATACTCTGATTTTGTGGTATGCTGTATTCATGATGCCATATGAGTACACTATATTTTGATCCATTTATTTTTTTGAATAAACGTGGAGTACACATCTGCTGATGTAATGTTCATTGTTAATGCATAGTTTTCAAACATTTACCCTTGAAACATTATACTTTTGAGTTTCAGAATTCTTGATTATGAATATCAGTCAAAATAGAAAAATGGGTTCCCATGATAAACGTTTACGGAACCCAAAATTAGTTACCGTGGTTTCCCATTGGGTAATCCGACGGAAACGAAAAACGGTTACCGTGAATTTCCGAAATCCTCAGGTCTGCTACTGAATTATTTAAATTTTTGCAGCATTTGTTTATAATTGTATGTATACAGGTATGTTGTTGTTTGTGTTATTATCATATGCAATTGAATAAGTAGACCATTTCAGAATTCCAAATTTGGGACTCTCTTAATGCATAATGGGACTCATACTTTTCTGATCAGCGAGTCCACTCGCTGGGGGTAAACTGTAAAATTATCACTGGGGTGCTGACAATAGAGATGTGCCACAGAGTGCGTTTCTAAAAAAGTTATCTTCATATATTCATCACTAAACAGGGTTGAGGGATTTGTGGTGGCGTGGATTGAGGTGTGCCAACTGTGTTGAATTGTTGGATGAGTTTGTGATGTTCTATGGCATAAAATCTACATAGCTATATCTAAGTAGGGTCTATATCGGTAGATATTTTTTGACTGAGTTGCCAAGAATAGGGGTTCACCAGAGGTTGTGTGGCTTAAGAAATTTGCTAGAGGGTATAGTAAAGTAGTATTCCAACTGTGTTCTGACAAATATAAAGGTCCATTACTCTTTTAACCTGATGCACCACTGTCACACAGTTTGGCAATCCCACACCAAATATGCCAATCATAACCCTAAAGAAGGTCATTTGGTTTAAAAGGCAAAATAACAATAGGATAAATAGTCTAGTTGACGTTCATATCAGGTTACCATGCTGTGTGGACAGGTTTGACAAATGATACTGTACTTGAATGATGAATGTTATGTCACTGTCTATGGGAGACAGCGCCTGTCATTGTCGCCCATGCACCATTCCTTTATTACTCAAATTGTTTTGTTTTGGGGTTTTTTTTGTATATGTGTGGACAGAAAAACGAGCCTGCCTGTGTCTGCCTCTCGACTCCAGCAAGTCCACAGGGTGAGAATTTCTCTTTGCTTCGTCACACTCATGCTGGCCTGCTGCAACATTTTCCATGCCGTGGAGGAGCCAATGTGTTTAGGATTCTTTGTTTGTAGCCACAAACGGGTATCCTGTCATGAGACGTGAGAGCAGATGCATGAACACTTTACACACACACGCGCGCACACACACACACTTTTCTCGGTCAACTTGGGAGCAGTCCACGGTCTACCAGTCGACTGCGATCGACTTGTGGGCACTCCTGCTCCAGAGGCCTTAGCCTTGATTGGAATTCTTGCAGGATGTCCCTCTAGGAGTCCTTGGTCTTTATAGGAGTCATTGAAGTAGGTTCCTTTTAAGAAGCCTTGAAGGTAGAATTTACTTTAAGAAGGTTTCTGCCCTTGATTGAGCTCACTGGACGTGTCCTTGAAGGAGGTCTTTGTAGGACTCTCTGTCCCCGGTCTTGCATGAGCCTTCGAGGAGTCATTGAAGGGGTTATCTGTACAGGTCTATGAAGAAGAACCCTGTAAGTTTTCTGAGAACTTAAAAGGAGGGCCGTAAAAGTACCGGTGTCAAACTCAAGGCCCCTGTGCCAGATCCGGCCCACCAAGTCATTTTATGTAGCCCGCGAAAGCAAATCATGTGTGTCAACTTGCATGAGCCTTGCTAAAATCTGTACCGAAATGTCAAATTGTCATGTGAAATAAATAACGTTGCGATTTTGCAATAATTTTGTTACCCTGTTGACACTCACTTAAACAATACAGTTGACTCATTTCAAAACTAGTAATCCATTAATGTGTAGTGTTCAAGTAATAATGCAATGAGACGATTACACATTTTGTGGTTTCACTGTCATAACAGCCCTCCGAGGGGAGTGGCCTCGCTACGAAAATGAGTTTGACACCCCTGCCTTAAGGAGTCCTTGAAGAAAGTCTGAGTCTTTGTAACAGTTCTCTGTACAGGATAAGTGCTTGAGGTAGTTTTCTATGAGTCCCTGTGGAAGGTACTGTATGTTTGTATGAATGATCCTGCATCCGATTTAATACACGACTTTGTCAGGCTGTCATTTCTAATCCCAATAAGCAAATGTTGATGCATTCAAATCCAAAACAGATTGAATTCCAAGATGCTTAATGATTCTGACTGTAATCTGAGGCCTGGCGGCCACATCATCACTGCCCTCGCTTTTCCACATTAGCCTCCCGCCGGCGTCCCTGGCGTGTCTCCTACTCGCTCCAACCGCCACGCTGAGCACTTTCCCTGGCGTGGGTCCATTCTTCACATTAATCTGCCTTTTTAAAGAGCTGTCTGTATTTTATTCCTGTGGCCGATGTGATTGTGGCATCCCCTAAAAAAAGGAAATTGATGGGAGAAGAATGGTGGCGAGGACAGGCCTGCATGTGGTGGCTCTGATAAGAGAGGAGACGTCATGATGAAATCTTACATGATTCTCTCTTTTGTGTTTTCCGTGACTGAAGAGAGTTCAGCAGCAAGACTTTCGAGCAGACGCTTGGTGTGGATCTGTGTGGAACTGCAGGTAAACAAAAAGGCCCTTGAAGGAGGCTCCTCAGAGTCTCCTTGCAAGCCCTTGAAGGACGACCCTGTGTGAGTGCTTCAATGAACCTACTGTATATTAATAATGTCCTCTGCAGGTCTGACGCCTCCGACCACGCCACCTCACAAGCCGGTGGAGGACGACCTTTTCAAGCCAACCGAGGCCAGAAAGGATGGCGAAAGCAATGGCGATGGCGAGGACTCGGTCCATTCGTCTGTTCACCCGTCTCCCGGCGGTGTCGGTGGCTTCCGAGGCTCCTGGCTGAGCCGCGTGCATCAGCGTAAGCTTCCGGAGCAGACGGAGCTGTACGCCCAGCTACGGCGCATGGGTCAGGCCGGAGTCGGCGACACTTGCCCTGGCTTCGGCGACCACGACTACTGTGTGCTGAGCCTTGGAGAATCCCGCAAGCGCAGCGTTGCCATGCTGGGCGCCATGCTGCGGGAGGCGGGAGAACCCCTACTCAGTGACGCCGCGCCAGAAAATGGCATCCAGTCCAACGTTGGCGAGTCGATATCAACACAATGCTCGTCTGACTGCCAATCAGCAGCCGCCACACCCCCCGCCTCAGAGGAGGAGGCGGAGTGCTCTGCAGCGTCCCGCTCGCCCTCACCGACCCTCCACCTCTGTCCTGACTCTCCCGCCAGCAAGGCAGACTCCAGGTAAACATTCAATTAAATGGTCAGAGGAGTGATCGCATTAATTATTTGTGACTCGGCATGGCAAAATCAGTTAGAGTGACCGATATTTCAGAAAGGAAGTTTTGGCTTGATCAAAAACAGAATGATCTCATTTCCAATGACATATCAACCATTGTACTGTGCTACACATTGCATCATTATTACTCGTTACATTATTGCGTACCTACTGAAATTACAAACAAGGAGGGTCAAAGTCAGCCAATTCATGTGTGTGGACAGGAAGAAAACCAAAAGACCATGGATGTCGGTACATTGTGCTACATACAATTGCGTAACCTTTCACAGGTAAAACTTTTTTTTTTTTTGCTTTCTATAAATGGTGTATATTGATTGCTCACAGTTTGGCATGGACAAAAAAATGAAACCTCACGAGAGGTTAAGAAATCAGTGAGTTACAAATGCTTTTCAATGTCCATGCTTTGCCTTTGTTGGGAAGGTGCCTGTATAAATATGGCGGCCACGTAAGGTACAGCACGCTGGCGTTGACTGTATCTCTGATCATTACGCATTGTGCTCCTCAAACAAACAGCAATAAACCAAAATGTTGTTGTCATAAACTCTATCACAGTAACAAAGGATTGTTTCTTGAAAATCCTGGAGATTAATGGCCTAACCTTAGCCCATAATGACATGGAATTACAAAAATCTGTACGAAATTCTCAAAGAGGGATTTTCAGTTTTTTACTGATACTCGTATGTTGGGAATTCCTTGCATTAGAGAGCTACAACTGCAAAGTAATGAGCAATTGTTTTCCTACATTTTCAGGTAATTACTTCTGTTGAGTACCTTTTATAAAATACGATGATTGAACACAGTGTTTATTTCATGAAAATGAAACTTTTCATCAATGAAAGAGAAGTTTCACCTGCTGAACCATAATTGCTTTGTATCTTGGAATCTACCTTTGTAAAATTACAATTGATTTTGCGATGCCGAGACACATATGGGGACTTTTTTGTTTGAACTCTAGATTATTTCCAGTGGTTGTTTTTCTTTGTATTCTGCACTGTACTTTCTTTTGTGTCGTCCATCATGTCATGATGGTAAGCATTGCACCAAAGTAATGCACCTATTCTCTTTTTCTCTCCCCGCTGTTTCACCTTTTTTTTTGTCTTTTTCCCCTTCATCCTTCTCCCATCTCCCATCTTTTCTCCCATCCTCAGTGAACATTCTGAGATGTGCCCAGACGATGAGCAAAGGGACAAAGCCAAATCTGATGAGGTAAAATGTTCCCACTCCACTCCAGAGTGAGTCACTACACTGTGTGTGTGTGTGTGTGTGTGTGTGTGTGTGTGTGTGTGTGTGTGTGTGTGTGTGTGTGTGTGTGTGTGTGTGTGTGTGTGTGTGTGTGTGTGGAGGCAACATCTGCAATGCTAAAAACCTCCCACGTCCATCTGTGTGTTTTCTCCCGCCCGTTGCTAACTGTTGCCATGGTTTCCCTGTTGCCAGGAGAACTGTCAGGTGTTCTACATCCACAACCTGCCCAGCAGCATGACCCAGAACATGTTGAGGAAGCGCTTCCAGGTCTTTGGCAAGGCAGAGGACTGTAAAGTCATCATCTGTAATGAGTACGTAACCTGCTCCCAACCAGACCAAGTACTTTGTAAGTCACCATTACACTAGGATAACTGACAAAAAGGTCTCAAGGGACCTTGTCCAAAGACACATCGGAGGTTCTTCCATTTAGACACAATATGACCATTCCAGGGGTCCTTCAAGAAAAATTGCCCTCACCCGTTTCACTTAGAAACATTCATAGAATATTTAGCATGAGTCAAGCCACAAAAAAAAAAAAAGCTCAAAAAGCTGAGCATCGAATATGCAGGAAGTCAACCATTTGGGTTTGAAGGTGTGATTTTAGGCTCAATTTGGACATTTTAGAGGTCCTTCAAAAATAGCCATAATCATTTTTACTTAGCTACATGAAAGCAATGTATTTCTTTAGTGGACCCGCAAAAAATGTCTCTAGAAGCAGTGTTCAAAAGTCCTCAGTAAGGCCGCTATTTTGGTTCAAAGCAGCCATTAATTTGACTTCTCAGGTGTCCTTCAAAGATGAAGACCTGATAGAGATATTCTCTGACTGCTACTAAAATTGAAACTCATACTTAAAGAGACGGCCAAAAAAAGTTGAGTTTTCCTAATTGCGTGATTCCACAAGGTCCTAATTTTTCTGATTTGTGTCTCTTCGGATGTATACTTGCAGAGAGCGTTGCGGTGTCATAAAGATCCGCCAGTCTGACATCCAGCGGCACCGGCGGGAGCGTGAGAATGTTTTCCAGAGTGCACCCGTAAGCGGGAGGAGACTGACGAGGAAACGCTACATCGACCTTGGTGATTAATCCAACACACACAAAAAAGAAGCTTTAACTTCACTTATGCTAGGCTAATGTTACCCCTGCGTAAAATCTAGTCCTGTTTATTTGAACACAAAGTGAATATTCTGTTGTATGAATGGCACAGGTGCCCATGCGGGTTCATTGCGCTTTCTGTTATCTTATGGAAGAACATTTAATCATTCTGACAGTCTCTATATGCTAAAATGCTGAGAGTGTGAGGAGGGCGTCAAGAGGAGAGATGGAGACAGACTAACAGAAAAAGTGATGATTTTATTCAACCAAAGCTGGTGGTGGTAGCAGTGGTCCAACAAGGCAGGCAGAACCATGAAAAATGGCTGACTGTAGAAACTCATGATGGAGTGTGTTGATCTGGTGACGAAGTGGAGTCAGGGACCAGCTTAATGTGATGAAGATGGGTTGTACCTGGCCCCAGCATCACTCATTTCTCCAATCCTGTTTTATTAGCTAGACCAGCAACAAAAGCACAAAAAACCCTCTATGAACCGAGTTACAGCCACTTTGCAGGGCCAGAACGTTGCTTATGGTGGCGCGGGCACCTGCAGCGGCTCCTCTTGTTGTATGTTGTGAGAGGGAAGAAATTTAATCTGTGCTGTATGCACATACAGCACACTGGATTTCACCTAGGCTAATGTTAGCATTTATCCCCTCTCGCAATCCAGATGAGGGTGGTCCGGGCCCAGTCAAGAGCAAGTACGACGCGCTGGACTTTGACACGCTGCTGAAGGAGGCCCAGAAGTCGCTGCACCACCGCTGACTGTCCAGCCGCGCTGGCCCCACACCGCGCTGCAATTGTCCCGCCTTATGAAACCCTGCACCCCGCAGCAGCAGAAAGAAGCGGTATACACCTCTCCACGCAAAATGTTTACATTTTTAAAAAAACGTTGGGAGAAAAGCAATGACGAGAACATTTTTGGAGGGGAGGGGAGGCAAAGGCGTCTACTTTGTATTAGCTACGAGATCAGCCACAGGACTATGTCCTGCAAAGAGACCTCCATAGCAAATCCTTGTTGTGCGTGTGCGTGTGTCTGTTTGTTTGTCTGTGTGGAAAAAAAAACTAATCCGGAGGCGGGCGGCGTCCTATCGGCCATGAAAGACAAAAAAACAAACTTTGTGTGTGGTTGTCAAAAAAAAGAAAAAAATGGATAAAAGATACCCACTTTGTTGGATGTTCTACATGGAAAAAAACTGTGGTGTGTGCAAAGAGTATAACGTTCAATGTAAAAAGGTTGACAAAAGTTTACAAAAATGAACATTTTATTTCTTGTTTTGTAATTGTAGTGCTTCCTTGATTTGATCTATGCACCGTTGGGAGGTTTTTTCTGCTTTACCCGCGTCACCGTCAACGCTAAATCCCCAAACCCCGTTTTTAGGGGAGGCGCCCCCTACTGGCCTGTGTTTGGTTAGCGACATAGATACACCAAAAATGCTTTGTGGGAATGTTTCACCTGAAGAGTAGGCAGCTAATGTTAGCCCTGATAAGACATAATTCGTGTTGTGTTTAATCAGGTTCTTGAATGGGTGTTAGCATTAACATTAGCTTTAGCCAGGAGACACGATCAAACAGCACAGCTCTATCTTGTGGTACAAGGGCAATTAGCCCACAGCCCACCCCTGTTGTTGCATACACCCTCTATATTAGCTTTAGTCATCTAGCATGACCAGAGTGCAACTGTTTTCTAGTGTTCGGTCTATTTTAGAGCGCTTGAAAGTTTGGTAGTCAGCTAGCCCAACCAAACAGCCCCTTAATTTTACATACATTATAAGATAAGATTTAGCCATCCAACATGATGACAAAGCACCTTTATTTTTTTATAGTTAGCTTCATCGTGCTGTCAAAGACAATAGCATTCCTTTTACATTCATTGTTAGCTTTAGCCAGCTAACATGTCCACAGTTCACTTGTTTTACAAACACCCTCAACATTAGCGTCAGCCAAATACCACAGCTGAAGCACACCTTCATTTTCTAATGTTAGCTTTAGTCTGCAAGCATGACTGACCACAGCACCCCTCTATTTTATATACATACTTCGCGTTAACTTCAGCCAGATAACACAACCACATTCCCTCTATTTTCTACTGTTAGCTTTAGCCAGCTAGCACAACTACATTGCCCCACCATATTGCAGCATTAACTATAGCCAGACAGTATGACCACAGTGCATGTCTTGTTTTACATACACAGTAAAGTAGGAATGTTCAATATGACTCTTTTTCAGACAGAAACCAGTATGAGTATTCGCACTTGCCTATTCATTGATTTTGATGCCAAGTACCAGTACATTTGCTGTATAAAATTTTAATGAGGCAAACCACAATGACAGATCAATGTGAACACTTATTTATTTACGATTTTTTTTTGGCCTCATCAGCGGTTAGGTCAAACCAGTCAATTAAGCACAGAATTCAGTAAATCAAATTATAGTCGGAAATTTTTTCGAACATTTTACTTAACCATTCTGGGAAATCGTAACTCAAAATATTGCAAATTACAGCTATGTAGCTAGGTACAAAAACCTCGGCAACAGGTGAGTATCACCCTCTGTATAATACACACAGGTAAGTAAACTAGCCACGTTGCCATTCAGGAAAGTTATACCTTATTAATGCACATATTAATGATAACCAATCCGGTTTACTGCCGACATTGTGGACCAAACACTGAATAGTGGTTGTACAGGGACTGAACAGCCCATATTAGGGTGTCTGATACCCGGTACTCCCGTGGCAGCCCACAAAAGATCACTCAGGGGACACGGTCGAATGCCTTCTCCAAGTCCACAATGCACATGAAGACTGGTAGGGCGAAATCCCGTATACCCCCAAGGACCGTGCCGAGGGCGTAGAGGTTTTCTGCTGTTCCATGATCGGGACGAAAACCACACTGCTTCTCCTGAGTCTCAGATTCGACTTCCCGACGGACCCTTCTCTCCAGCACCCTGGAATGGAGTGTACCAGGGAGGCTGAGGAGTGTGATGCACTTGTTGGAAAACTGTTCACCCTTCTTATGAAGCAGGGCCACAATCCTAGTCTGCCAAACCAGAGGCACTGTCCCCAATGTCCATGTGATGTTGCAGAGGCATGTCAACCAGGACAGCCCCACAACATCCAGAGCCTTTATGAAGTCCAGGTGGATCTCAAACCAGGTGGATCTCAAACATCCCCAAGGCCCTAACCCTGAAGGAGCTTTTTGAACCATCTCGGTGACGTCAACTTTTCAAGTATTTTCCCCAAAGATTCAGTGTCTCGAGTCGGGATCAGCAAGGCAGCATCCCCACTTCAGACATTGTTGATGGTGCACTGTTTCTTCCTTGTGTGACGCCAGATGGTGGACCGGAATTTCTTTGAAGCCATCCAAAATTCTTTCTTCATGGCCTTGCTGAACTCCTCCCATGCCTGAGTTTTTGCCTCAGCAACTGTCAAAGCTGCGTTCTTCCTTGCCAGCCTCTACCCATCACTGTGTTTTGCAGATGATGTGGTTCTGTTGGCTTCATCAAGTCGCAACTCTAACTATAGCAGTTATGAAGCGGCCGGGATGAGGATCTGAGAGTGGAAGTACTCGAGTGGAAACGTTTGGAGTGGCTTCTCCACGTTGGGGATGACATCCTGCACAAAATAAATGAGTTCGAGTATCTTGGGGTCTTGTTCACATATGAGAGAGGAAGAATGGAAGCAGGAAATCGACAGACGGATTGACCCAGCGTCTGCAGTGATCCAGACTCTGCATTGGTCTGTTGTGGTGAAGAAGACGCCGAGCCGAAATGTAAAGCTCTCAATTTACCAGTCAATCTGTCTGTCTACCCACACTTATGTTAACAAGCTGTGGGTCTCTGCCCGAAAGAACAAGATTGAAGCAGCCAAAATGAGTTTCTTTCACTGGGTGTCCAGGCTTTCCGTTAGTGAGAGGATGAGAAGCTCGGTCACTCAGGAAGGCTCAAAGTACAGTCGCTGCTCTTCTGCACTGAGAGAAGCCAGATAAGGTGGCTTAGGTATCTAATCCTCCCGAATGTCTGCTTGGTCAGTTGTTCCAGGCACGTTCTACCTGGACGATATGATTGTAAAGAACATTTTCCACTTGATTTCCCCTATAAGTATATTTAGCTGGTCTCAGAAGCCCTCATGAGTACCTAATACATTGAAATAAAGCCAATGTCAGTCTGATAGGATACCTGTGGTATCGTTATTGACCCACCCCAACTATTAACACCTTTCTCCTTTTAACGCAACCACACCATGTTTTTTGTAGAGTAAATCTTTGCCATCTAGTGCAGCCTTAGCACACCTGTTTTACCTCCAATGTTAGTTTTAGCTTTAGTCAGCTAGCCGGCTAATTAAAACAATCAGTAAAAGTGGAACATTCCCACATTCAAAGCTGCAGATTGATCTAGTCCGTTAATCCAACATGTTTGTTTACATTTAAACTGCAGCCTACGTCACTCAAATCGGGGTGGTGTTGGCGGATGTAGTCTGGGTTGTGGGTTTGGGGCACATTGGTTGCCAGTGGTGCTGGCGCCATTATGTGGATTGTCCCAGTCCCCCTCAAAATGTCCCGACTGACTTGATTGGTTGGTTTGATCTGATGGAATGTATTGGTTTTTCTGAATGTAAACATCCCCTTTAGTGGCAGTTGGTTGCGCCTATTGTGGCCAGTAGGAGGCACCGGGAAAAAGGGAAGAGAGGTTTGGAACTTAGCAAGAAAATGACGCGGGTGGCGTCAGCCGAGCATCTCTACCTCACGTCCATGCGCCGATGCTCTTGCCGCCGCCGCCATCCTGCTTTCCCATCAGGGTTCATCCACTAAAGCCTCTTCTGCATGCCACCATGTTTGTCGTCTTAGAACGATTAAATCTGGCCACCCAGCCTGACCACAGCATACCGCTGTTTCACACAGCAGTTAGCATTAGCTTTAGCTTAAAATGTCTGCCACTGGCCTTCCATTCAAAAATGGCGGCGTGTGGACGGCTTTAGTCCAGTGCACTTCCTTTCCTCGCCAAAATGAGACGCAGCTCCACGCGAGTCCAAGGTCTTGATTTTCCGGGTCCTTCCACAGCTTATCAAGTCACACACAAACACACATGCACGCACACACACAAACACATACATATAAGAACGTTGAATGTTTACATCATGGTTTACATAAAGAGAAGCTCTTATATAAGATAACATATATATATATATATATATATATATATATATGCACACACAATATATTGTTATAT